AGTAATGAAACTTTTTGAAACTCACTTTTCCAAAGGTCCCAACCTGTCTCTTATACACATCTAAAATAAAAAACGTTTCGCAACGTTTTTTTAATAATTTAAAGTAAAAACGTTGCGAAAACGTTTTTATGATAAAGCTCGAGCCAGCTCGAGCCCAGCTTGGCTCAAGCCAGGATTTTCATGGCTCAGCTTGGCTCGAACTGAGCTGAGCCAAGATATTTTGTGGCTCGGCTCATTTCAGGCTTGGCTTGGCACAGATCTTCAAGCCGAGCCAAGCCAGACTGTAGCTCGGCTCGAGCCGGCTCATGTAGAGCACTACAAATAACTATTTAAATTTGCGTTTAGGAAGCGTTCAGAAACTTGTAGACCTACCAAAAGTAGAAAAGTAAAAACATTCAGTTAATTAGTAATGTTTCATTAAAAAAAATAACATTTAAACTTCGAAGAATACCTTCGAAGTTCCATCCAGGTGCAATTCAAGAAGTCGCGGACCTACAAATTTCATTTCTTTAAAAATCTTTATTTTTTTTTCAAAGTTCCATCCAGATGTCATCCAAAAAGTTGCTGACCTACAGTATAAAAAGAGAAATGAGATATTAGTTGATATTTCATTAAAGAAAACAAAAGAAATTAAAGAACTTCGAAGGATACCTTTAAAATTCAATTCAGAAAGCACCAGGAAGCCATAGACCTACAAAAAGAGAATACGTTAGTAAAGTTCATTAAAAAACAAAAAAATTACTGAAGTTTTAAAAAGAATATGATTCTTTTCAAAACTCACCTATTCAAAGGCCGCAACTGATACCTGAAGTTTTGAAAAGTTAATGTAACTTTTCAAAACTTACCACAGGTTTCATTTCCAAAGGTCCCAACTTGACACCTACAAAATAAAAAAAAGAAAATTAAAAAATTAAAGTTTCGAAAAGTAATGAAACTTTTCAAAACTCACCTATCTAAAGATTCCAACTGACGCTAATCGTAAAGCTCTGAACGGTTCGGGCTAAACCGGGGAACCGATCCAAAACCGGCTCAAAATTCAGTTCGGTTCGGTTCGGGTATTAGAACTGAAAAACCGGCGGTTCGGTTCAGTTTAATCCGATTTTTTATAAAAATGCGAAAAATCGAATAGCCGGCCATCTAGTGATCGTACAAAGTCAAGCCATATATCATTGGATTCCTCTCGATGAGACGCGTCGAATGGTGGTAAGATCATGTCTCTAGCATCGATAGACCACACGTTAACCCACGCTAAATGATTTATAAAGAATTGGAATTAGCAAGCTATCTATCGGTGCTAGAGACGTGATCTTACTACCATTCGACTCGTCTCATCGAGACGAATCCAATGAGTCCTAATTCATATTTGTACGACCATTGGACGACGAATAAATTCATGTATCGGAATTTTTAATTTTTAACGCACAAAAATTTTAAAAAAATGCGAAACTTGATATTATTCACCATCTAGTGGTCGTACACGAACGAATTTATATTCATTGGATTCGTCTCACTGAGACGCGTCGAATGGCGCTAAGATCATGTTTCTAGCACTGATAGATAGCTTGCTAATTCAAATTATTGATAATTCATTTAGCGTGGGTTAACGTGTGTTCTACCGATGCTAGAGACATAATCTTACCACCATTCGACGCGTCTCGTCGAGGCGAATCTAATGATATATGGCTCGACTTTATATGATCACTAGATGGCCGGCTATTCGATTTTTCGCATTTTTATAAAAATCAGATTAAACCGAACCGAACCGCCAGTTTTTCGGTTTGGTTCTTACGGATTTCGGCTCTAATCCGAATCGTCTATAATCCGGACCAAACTGACCTGTTCGGAGCTTTAGCTAATCGATACCTACAAAATAAAGATAAGAAAAAAAATTAAAAAAAATTGAAGTTTCGAAAAGTTAATGTTAACTTTTTGAAACTTACCACAGGTTTCCAAAGGTCGCAACCGATACCTACAAAATAAAGAAAAGAAAATTAAAAAAAAATTAAAGTTTCGAAAAGTAATGAAACTTTTTGAAACTCACCTATCTAAAGTTTCCAACCGATGCTAATCGATACCTACAAAATAAAGAAAAGAAAATTTAAAAAAAATTGAAGTTTCGAAAAGTTAATGTTAACTTTTCAAAACTTACCACAGGTTTCCAAAGGTCGCAACCGATACCTACAAAATAAAGAAAAGAAAATTAAAAAAAAATTAAAGTTTTGAAAAGTTTTGTAATAAAACTTTCAAAACTCACCTATCCAAAGGTCCCAACCGATGCCAATCGATACCTACAAAATATAAAGAAAAAAATTTAACAAAAAAATACTTGAAGTTTTGAAAAGAAGGAACAAAACTTTTCAAAACTCACCTAGTATCCAAAGGTCGCAACCGATACCTACAAAATAAAGAAAAGAAAATTAAAAAAAAGAAGTAAAAAAAATTAAAGATTTAAAAGAATGAAACTCTTGAAACTTACTGGATCCAAAGTGAAGGATCTTACCGAAACCTAAAAAATAAAAAAAAGTATTAATTTTTTGAAAAAAACAAAGTTTTAAAAGTTTCTAAAAAATGAAACTTTTGAAACTTACCGATCCAAAGTGAAGGGTCTCACCAATCTAAAAAAATAAATAAAAAAAAATATTAAAAAAATTTTTTTTTAAAAAAAAATGAAGTTTCGAAAAAATGAAACTTTTGAAACTTACGTGAAAGGGTTTCACCAATACCTAAAAAAAAGAAACAAAAAAAAATAATTTTTTTTTAAAAAATAAAAGTTTCGAAAGTTTGAAGAATGAAACTTTCGAAACTTACCAATCCAAAGTAAAGGGCGCTGATACCCGTCGTCTTCAAAGTCCAGGAACCGAAGAACCTAAAGAATATGAACAAAATTAGAAGAATAAAACAAGACAAACTGAAAATGAAAAAATAAAATTAAAAAAACCCCACCCGTTATCTCCAAAGTCCAGGAACTGAAGAAACTAAAGAAAAAGAATGAAATTAACAGAAGGAAACAAGATAAATGAAAAAGAGAAATAAAATAAAAAAACTCACCTTTCGTCTCCAAAGTCCAAAACAGAAGAACCTAAAAAAGAAGAAAAATGAAATTAGCGAAAAGAAATAAGAATGAAACAATAATAAAACAAAAAGAAATATAATTAAAAAAAGTCCCCTACCAGTTATCTCCGAAGTCTGGAACTGAAGGACCTAAAGAAAAAGAGAACTCATTAACTCCAGAGTCCGGAATTAAAAGCTCAGATGATCTGGATAATCTCATAATCCATTAGTAACACAGATAATAATCTGGATGGTCTGTTACAGCATAACTGATATTTTTTCATCCGTAAACAACAGATATCTGACCATAGATATGAATTGAGGATGAACGACTATCAGAACCTAAAAAAATAAAAAATGAACGTTAGTGACGTTCATTAAAAAAAAATATAAATATAAAAATAAATTTGAAGGTTTTTACCTTCAAAAATAAAGTCCAGAGCCGCACTTCAGCGTCCAGGACCTAAAAATATGAAAAACGAACATTAGTGATGTTCGTTAAATAAAAAATTATTTTTTTTTTAAAATAAATTAAATATTCGGAAGTTAATATACCTCTGAATTCCAAAATCTTTGATAGGTTCTATCCAGAACCTATATAATATAAAAAAAATATATTTTTTTTAAAAAAAAATTAATTTCTAAGATTCAGAGGTAAGCATACCTCTGAATTCCAATATCTTTGATAGGTTCCATCACGAACCTATATATTATAAAAAAAAATATTTTTTTTTTTTAAAAAATTACTAAGATTCAAAGGTAAGCATACCTCTGAATTCCAAAATCTTTAATAGTTCTATCTGGAACTTATATAATATAAAAAACTTTATTTTTTTTTTAAAAAAATTAATTACTAAGATTCAGAGGTAAGCATACCTCTGAATTCCAAAATTATCGATAGGTTCCATCCGGAACCTATATAATATTAAAAAATTTTTTTTTAAAAAAATAAATTAAGTTTTGGAGGTAAGCATACCTCCAAAATCATCAATAGGTTCCATTTGGAACCTATAATATATAAAAAAAATTTTTTTTTCTCTAAAAAAAATTAAAGTTTCAGAGGTGATATACCTTCAAATTAAAAGTGACAATAGGAACTTTTTTTGACTTACAAACTGAACTTTAACTGACATTCATTAAAAAAAATTTTTTTTTTTCAAAGAAAAAAAAGGAATACGACTCCTTTTTAGTTCTGATTTCCCTGCATGTTGCAGATTATGTGCCGAATGTTGGACGAATTTGCCTTAAAGACTCTGAACCTTGCAAAAAATTTCTCTGATAAGCTTCGAAGCTTAAAAAATAATAGAAATATTTTTTCTTTGGAATCTTTAACAGATTATTTCCTAAAAGGTATTGTAGAAAAAATTATTTCACAAAGTTTTTTTCCTTAGTAATAAGTGTTGTAGAAAAAATTATTTTTTTTAAAGTCTTGTAAAGTTTTTTATTTTAAAGATTATTGTTGAAAAAATCATTTATGTATTAAATCAAGTTAGAGTTAATCAAAGTTTAAATATTAAATCAATGATGAAATTGCAGATCGAACTGATATTTTAATGAAAAAAAAGCAAAAATCTGCAAAATTGCAAACTTCCGCATAAATTTCACATAAAAAAAAGCAGAAATCTGCAAAATTGCAGATTACCACAGAAATTCATACATAAAAAATTGGAAACTTGCAAAATTGCAGATTATTGCATAACTTTGTAAAAAATAAAAAGCACAAATCTGCAAAATCGCAGACTTCCACATAAATTCACAAAAAAAATGCGGAGATCTGCTAATTTTACAGATCTCTGCAGTTCTGCATCTTAAAAAATTTCCCAATGAAAGTAAGTTGGGGAGGTTATTTTTGGTTTTTTTTTGTCTTTGGGAACGTAATTAACGTTCTTTTTGCTTCTTTTCTTTAGGTGACGCCCTTCCTGGACCTGGATTTCAGCTTGGGCTATTAAAGTAAGTTGGTGAAGGGTTTTTTATCTTTTTTTTTTGTCTTTAGGAACGTAACTAACGTTCCTTTTGCTTCTTTCTTTAGGAGGACGCCTCTTGGATCTGGATTTTGGCATGGGTTATAAAGGTAAGTTGGGGGAAAGGTATTTTTGTTTTTTTGTTTTTAGGAACGTAATTAACGTTCCTTTTGCTTCTTTTTTTTAGGGAGACACCTTCTTGGACCTCTAAATCTTAAACTTTTTATAAATATTGTGTCAACTAATTTGTTAAAAATTATTTGTAATAACGTAAAAATAAATACTATGTTTATTATTATAAAATTCTAATTGTTAATTAATATTAATAAAAAGTATTAAGTAGAAAAAATTGAATTCGGATTCACCAGATTCACCGGATTGACCGGATTATTCAGATATCTGGTCAACCATCCGGTCAAATTGGTGAGCAAGTATTGACCGGATATCCGATGATCCATCCGGTCAATCTGATGAATCATCCGGATCAATCCGAATCCGGTCAAATTTCGGATGGATGACTGGATATCCGGATTAACCAGATTCAGAGCATACCTCTACTGATGACTTCCTATAATGTAAAAATTCAAAAGGCCAAATCTAAGCGTACTGTTGGCATTGTGGAGCGATATAACCATACCTTGGTTGAGAAACTATTTCCCTCTCAAGATGCATCTGACTTATTAACTTTAGGTAAAATGAGATCTCAAGTCTGGGTAAAAAACTTACCTATTGCTGTAGAAAGTATAAATAACTCAGTAACTCAACAACTTGGTATATCTCCTGCTGTAGCTATAAAAAAATTACGAGTGTCTTCCAGATCTTCTTAGGACCTGTTGGGTATAAAGAGGAGAAACTACCACCAGATATAAGTGTAAGGTATTTACTTGAGCCAAGTAATCTGAAAGGTGGAAGACGTCGAGCAGGAGATATGAATTGGTCACCTATATCCTAAGGTTGCTTGCCGAAATCCAAGGGTTTAGGCAAGATGGCATTTTGCCGAAAAGCGAAATTCTGCTGAAACTATATTAAAGTTATATTAAAAAACTGGCGAAACTTTGGAGAAAGGCGAAATAAACTGCCAAAACTTATTATAAATGCTGAAACTGCCGAAACTCTGCCGAAACTATAATAAATCTATAGTAAAATTTTGACGAAACTAATTGTAGGATTTTGAAGAGGTTTAGACAAGCAACCTTACTATATCCATATGTCTTTAACACAGAAAAATCAACCAGTTTTGTACTGGCTTATTGATGATGATGGCAAAGAATCAGAGAGATCCTTTGTGAGGAAAGAACTTTTGGTTATACCAGATGATACAGAACTTCCACCACAATAGGTGCTTATGAATTAAGATAGTCTTCTACCTCATCATCTGCTTGGGAGTCTGTGAGAAAGTAGTCTTTTGCCAATTCGTAGTATAACCTGTATAGCTTATTAATAGCAGACAAAAGTTTTGGCTTTCTGCTATACCAGGTCTTGTAATTTTCCAAGATTTGCTGATACTTTGTCTCATTAGGTAGAATAAATTGTGCTGTTTCAAGAACAAAATTTTCTGGTTCTTCTACTTGATGCAAGTTAGTTATCCTTTGTTTGTAACATAACATGAATTTACTATCCTTTGGTTTCTTGTAAAGAATGCCTGCTTTAATTATAGCAATTAGAGCTGATTTAATTTCACGGTATGTTGGCTTAGCTGGTATAGCTTGGGTAGACATAATTTTTATATCATGTAAAGTTTTTTTTAATTTAACTTATTTATACTTAATAAATATGATCAGAGAATATACTTGTGAATATTTACATAATACAGGAAAGCCTTGTGGTCGTCCTTGTGTGAGGCCAGAAAGTTGTCGTATTCATTGGAAGACAAAATCACATTTTCCTTGTGCTGTATGTGGTAAACCTACAGGTTCATCTAGTGGTCAATGTCAATCTCATATTGGGAGCAAATCTGCCGATCTGCAGAATTAACAAAATTCGTCTAAATTAAGGAATTTGACAATAATTTAATAAAAATTAGGTAAATTAAGTTTTGCAAAAATGATCACACTTGTGCTACATGATCATATGACAGATATTAAGAAATTACTTCAATAAAAAGTTGCGTTAAAAAAATTTTTTTCTTTCATAAACTCCCTATTAAACACCCCATCAATTCTCCCATCAACTTTTCAACCGTTTTTACATCAAATAAGTTGAGAAATTTTGCAAGTATATTAGTAATTATTTTACATTAGACACAACTTGGAACTGTTTTTTTTATTTTTTTTTTTATAGTTTATAAAAAAAATTTCAATAAATAAATAACTCTAAATATTAATAATGATAATTTAGTGAAATTAAATTATGTATTGATTAGTTGTTTAATTATAATCTATTTGATATTTATTATTAATTATTTTTCAGTTAATTTTTTTTCGTTAAATCATTAAATATTCTGGATTTTTGTAAAGTTTTTCTATAAACTAACTTTATAATATTTTTTTCCCTTTTTTTTCTAGAAACTCCTTCTACTGGCTTCGGGTTAAAGAAGTAAATAGTTTGGGAGAGACCTTAAAAGTTTTTTTTATATATTTTTGACATTTTTTCTTACGTAAGAACAGGTTTTGATCAATTTTAATCAGTACTGCACCACATAATTGATGATTGGCAAAATCGGCAGATATGCTGCATATTATAAAATATCGTCTTATACCAGATCTCTTCTAGTTTTCTCTGGCCTTGATAATGTTGATATATTTTTTAGCATTTTTTTGCTATATAAATGACATAGGACCCCGAAGAATACATAAAAAGGTCATATTTGAGTTTACTTAAAAAGAACCTAAATTTTTATGAAAATCTTGCCTTTTTTAGATAGTGCTGGCCTAAATTTTATTGTCCGCTTTGATACTGGCTAGCATTATCATAATTCCGGCCCTGAAAAGTTGCTTATTTTAGGCCAAAATCTTACCGATCATTTATGATTTCCATATGTATTTTTTGGGGTCCTGATGACATTAACATTATTTTATTTCTTAAATTACCGTTTCTTTTTGTTCTCTTTTACTGTTTTGAACGAAAATAATATTTTTTTTTTTAAAAGGGTTACTTCCTTCCTCATAAAAATTAAAAAGACGACTTGAAAACAAATTGTGAGACCTTTTGAATTTTTTTCTGTTTGAACTACATTAGGATTGTCTTACGTCTTTTTTATTAATGACAACGTATTGGTAAATAATGTGGTGGGTCTTTTGGCATTTTAACCAATATGATTATTTTTTCCTATAGGGATAAGCTTGTCATTCCCATAATCTTTCCACAATTTTTAATAGTAGAAACATAAAAACCTTTTCCGTATTGTACAAACAATCACGACCATTCTTCTAGAATGCCTTAACCTCAAAGATATTGACAAATAGACAATTTAAAGAAAACTGGAAATAATTATTTGGGATCATTGCACGTTTTTTATTATTATTATAAGAGAGTACAAGATGCTAGAAATTTGCAAGGTAAAATATTACAATCAGAACCAGATAATTTTTGTTTCTTAACAAACAATCACATGTTGAAACTAATCCTTTAGCATTATCTACCATTTAAAAGGCTAATTCTACAGTGAAACCAAAGAAGTCATTTAGCAAATACAAATATGGAAAGATGGTAATTGAATGTAAACGTAAACGTGATAAAGATGCGATGGATAATATATTTGGTGCTAGGCATAAACAAGTATACGTTGTCTAGTTTTCAAATACATAGATCTTTAGAATAAAAACTCAATTGCATCAATAAAGAGAATAGAAAAATAAGAAAGAAAAAAGAATTGCAAGTATGTGTGTGATCTGTTAGGATCATTTTGAATATCATTACACCTTAATGCGTGAATTGCCTCTTGAAATTTGCGTATCCAAGCTTGTCAATTTCTCACCAAGATTTCCCATGTCTAAAGAAAAAGAGAAACGAACAATTAGTATAAATGATCGTTAAAACTAAATAAAAGAAAGTTGAAAAAAAAAATAATTTTTTTTTTACTTGACGGCTTCTCTATCCAGAAACTTGAAAAACCGCCTAAAAAACAATGAACAGATAGTAACGTTTGTCAAATTAAAACCAAAAATTTTTTTTCTGTATTCTATATGTAACCGCCATGCTTTAATGTAACCCCAAGAGCAACACCTGCCTTATGTTTTTTCCTGTTAGTTTGTAGAGCACTCTCACATTGAATAACATTTTGAACAAAACCTATATTAACCAAGTATTACTTGCTTTCAGTAATACAAATCAGTTCCTCAAGTGATATTTATTGTATAATCAACACGACCACAATTTTCATCACCCATGATTTGAAGTTGAGGAAGCAAACTAATTTCTTTATCAGTTTCTCTCCTGTTGCAGCGTGAAGAATTGCCAAAATATAATTATTACGCGTTGCCTCGTTACTATCAGGAATTAAAGTTCCCAAGTTGTGCAACTTACGTTTTATATCATTCATACATTGTTGCAATTCATCATCATCATCGGCGAGTGATAAGGAAGACGGTGTGAATTGAGAAACGGCGGATAAACTGCTACCATAAATATTAAACTTATTTAGGACACTCTTTAAGTCTGTTAAAGTCTTGTACGAAGAAAACGGTCTTTTCTTTTTTTCCATAAAATCTTTAGCAAACTCTACGAAAATCTTTGCTGGTCCTCCTTTCAACCCATAACTTCGATATGTTTCTTCTGTTATTTTGAAAAAGGTACTACCGGTTATTTCTTGATCGCGAAGAATATCAAAATATTCTTCTTTAATTTGGATATTGTTGTTTCTTAAAAATTTGATGAGAGATTTAGTATAATATCATCTAAGTTTTCTTCAAAAGTGGACATAGTGGAAACATGCACAAAAGCACTGCAAAAACCCCTAGTGTTGCCAAATTATAATCTGTTTGTTACACCATATTTGGCTTGTTCAAAATCCAGTTTATTTATTTTTGATTGGGCTGATAAGTGACACAAAATTTTTTTTTGTAATTATAACGTGTAATGCAATCTGAATAAATGATAAAAGAAAGTACGATAGTAATGAAGATGATGGATGACTAGTTAGTTTAATTATGGAAATGAAGCTAACAAAATCCTTCTTTCAAAAGTTCTTACCCCTTTTAAAGAGTGATATTGATCTTATACCTAACGTCATGTGGATTTGATGTTTACGTATTGTTGAAACTATTGGAAGAGCTCTTATCAATAGAATGGGCGTCCTTAAAATATAATAAAAAACATTAATAAATTAAAAAAACCTTTCCTTCTCCATTACTTACCTAAAGTCCTGATTGTAAAGCAACTCTAGCACCTACAAGTAGAAGAAACATCTCTTGTAATTAACAAACAGCAAAGAGTTATGCAGCTGTTTACTGAAGAAGAGCCAAAGAAAAAAAATTTGAGAAACCCTCCCATGGAAGCTAGCGAAAATTTAATTTCTTGGTGGGTATATATAAATTCTCTTTTCCTTTAAGAAAATTCTCTCTGGTGATTTCTTGGAATGTACTTGCATGGGTTAGTTTCAGAGATTTTTTTTATCTTTATAGAATGTGATAATCAAATATTTTTTATTTTAAGATCATCTTTTTGATTTGAAAAATAAATAATAAAGAAATACAGAATAAAGACAAGAAAGGAATGAGAAAATAAAGATGATGATGAGAGGGAAAGATGATGATAAGAAGGATTGAGAACGAAAAGAATAAAAAAAACAAAGATAAAATAAAATAGTAAAAAAAGAAGAAAAAGAAAAGAATTGATTAATAGGTTTCAAAAGCAATAATAATGGTAAATAAAAAAGAAAATCCTACCTCAGTAAGCTTCCATAATTGAAACTTTTTCAACTTATTTGGGTTTTACTTTATGAATATGATTGCTATAAACTTTTGATGCGTCCTTATTTCTGAACCACGAAAACATGTGACAAACTGATGATCATTACATAATATCACATTTAAATAATTCTGTCTTGTTAAAGTTTTGCGTCAGTTAATCTGCAGTTCTTAATTAAAATTCTGTATTATTATTAAAAAGGAACTATAATAGTTAACGCAGTAGCAAGATGCAAACTCTTTCACCTCCAACTATGCCTCCATCCACAAATACAAACGAATACAAGTGTAGTGTATGTAAAAAAATTTTTAAAAATAAAGCTGGCTTAACATGTCATAATACTGTTATTCGAAAATATAATACCCTTTGAAAGGGATTGCCAGTAGTGCCAACAAATCTTACAGAATTGTTTAAAAATGACTTAATTTACTTTATCCATCATCGACTACCAAATGGTTTCAAAATGCTGGGAAGAAAATGGTTTCAATACCATGCAGTGAAAGTCAATTTCATGCAATTTTTGAAAATCATATATACTTTTACTCCAAGAAATCTGGTGTTTATAAATGTTGGTTTCGTGGAAAAGAAGGAGAGGAGAAGTTAAATCAAATATTTGGGAATACAGACTGGGGAATAAAATACTACAATCAGAATCAGATGACCTTTGTCGTCTTCATCAGCAAGTTTTAAAAGTGTTGCTTTACATAATTTTAGTGTTAATTAACATTAAGAAGTTGTTTAATACGATATATCCTATTGTTTAATACTGTATACTGTAATGATTAACACTGAATGCTGTTATATATGTATAATTTTACAAGTTTTTTTATGTTGTTTGATGTATAATATAGTTCAATATGATATGCAATGTAGTTTAATGCCATCAATCAATGTAAACAAACACAAAATGTTGTTTCATTAAAATTTAGTATAAAAATACACTAGTTGTTATCGCTATTTATTAACACTATACATATTTTTTAACACAAAATGTAGTTTAACATATTGTTAAATGCCAATAAGCGATATATATAAATACGAAGTTTGTTATACTGCAATTTAGTATAGAAATACACCCATTTTTATTAGTGTTTTTTAACATTATACATATTTTTTAATACTAAGTGTAGTTTATTGTGTTGTTCAATATTAATAATTAATGTGTATAAATACACATGAAACCTTACTACTGAAGACTCCCTCTTTTTATAACTATAAAACAGGCGGAGGGAGCAGCAATAGCTCTCCCCCCATAGGTATTTTATAACCTCTACCTATTTATAGAGGAGGGGCTTTTCGTAAAGTATTAAAGTTAATAGATATATATATATGTATATATAAGCACATATATACATCTATTAAAAAGTTATAAAAGAAAATTTCGAAGTTCGGGGAAAGGCCCTATTTATAAATTTTTATACATCACGTGTATCACGTGATACTGAATTAATAATTACAGCAGCTTCAACTGCGCCTGCTGCAGTATAGAGAAAAAAAAATTAAGCTTTTTTTAGCAAAGCTTATTTTTTTTTTTTCTCACGGCCTTTATTTTCCCTTCCCTCTTTCGCTTCTCTTTCCCCTTCTCCTTTCCTTTCGCCCTTCCCCTTCCCCTTTCCCTTTCATTCTACCCTTTCCTTTTCGCTCTCCCATTACCCTTTCGTTTTCCTATTTCCCATTTCATTTTCCCATTTCATTTCCCCATTCTTTTTCACTCTCCCCTTCCCTTTTTGTTCTCCCTTTTCCCAAATGGTAAGTTTCAAAAGCGTTCGTTTTGAAACTTTTTTATAAAATTTAATTTCTTTTTTATGTGGGAATGTTTCTAACGTTCCTTTGTTTTTTTTTGTAGGACATTCATTATTGTACTTTCAGAGCGAAATTGTAAGTTTCAACGCAAAAGTTTCGAACCTTTTTTTTTTAAGATTATTTTTTTTTAATTAGGAAACATTACTAACGTTTCCTATATTTTTTTTTTGTGTAGGATCTTTGGCTCGTTTTCAGTTCAGAATATTGANAAATCCTAAATGAATTAACACCAAATGCTTTAATTTAATGATTTGATCTTGAGTTACTTCAATACCATTTGCTAACATTTGCAGTGCAAGTGTTAACACTATAACCTAAAAAAAAATTAACAAATAATAAATAAATCTAATAATTTATCTGAATAACTAATGCATATTAATTACCCTCAGATTTTGCGATTCTGCAACTCTTTGTCCTGGAGTAGAATTTCCACCGTCCTGAATTTGTTTCAACCCAATTACCAAAATACTATCTGGTCTCATATAGCTTTCCTAAGTAATAATAAATAGTATTAATTACATTAATTATGAATTTTTAAAACAATAGTTAAATTTTCATACCAAAATATCGGAAGTGGAAACTTGTTCATTCTCATCATTTTGAGTTAAAGCATCTAATAGTGTATTCCACTCAATAACTTTAGTAAGTAAAAAAAAGTTTCAGGTAAATATTATCGTAAAAAACAATTCATTGGAACAAATTCATGAATGACTTCGAACCTTCCCAATCTGGAAATTTTGCATTCAATTTAATCATTAATTTACACAATAGCGTTTTTTCACGAACATTTGCAGTTTTGAAATATCCTTCCCAGCATTTAAAAGCTAAACGCACGTGCTGTGGCTGCATTGATCATTTTAGAAAACTAACGTTTCCTATAATTTTTTTTAGGACTCGGCATATTCGACTTGGAAAACGAAAGGGTAAGTTTTGAAGCGTGTACCTCGAAACTTTTTAAAATTTTTTTTTTCTTTTTAGGAAACATTACTAACGTTTCCTATACTTTCTTTTTTATAAATGTTCAACTTCGGATCTTGGAAATGGTAGTGGATATGGTAAGCTTCGAAGAGTTAACTTTCTCTTCGAAACTTAAAATCAATTTTTTTTAAAAAAAATTTTATTAGGAAACATTTTCTAACGTCTTCTTTATCCTTTTTGTTGTAGGATCGGTGTTCGGAATGGACAAACGGTGTGGTAAGTTTCGTTTCATTACGAAACTTAAATAATAAATTTAAAAAAATTTTTTTTTATTAGGAAATGTTCTATTAACTGAACGTCTCCTTTATTTTTTGTAGGTTCGAATATCCAGTATTGGATACGAGTCCTGAAATGGTAAGTTTCATATTTTTCGTTATGAAACTTCCATTGTTTTTTTATTCTTTTTTTTTAGATTAGGAAATGTTTACTAACATTTCCTTTTTCTTTATTTTATTTAGGTATACAATAGAATTCATTCCAATTTTGAAACCAGGATCCTGGATGGTAAGTTTCGAAGAGTTTCACTTCGAAACTTTAAAATCAATTTTTTTTAATTTTTATTTAAACTTTTTATTAGGAAATATTCTAACTGAACGTCTCCTTTATTTTTGTAGGTTCAAGAATATCTGTATTGGATACAGGTCCTGAAATGGTAAGTTTCATACATTTCATTACGAAACTTCCGTTATTTTTTATTTTTTTAATTAGGAAATGTTTACTAACATTTCCTTTTCTTTTTCTTTTATTTAGACTTCAGAATATTTTTGATTCTGGATGGTTATGGGTAAGTTTCGCAAATGTTGTGAAACTTATCATGTATATTTTTTTTAATAGAAACGTTTTCTAACGTTTCCTTTTCATTCTTTTAGGTTCCAGGAGTTCAAGTCACTGGGAATTTGTAATTGGTAAGTTTTATTCATCATGGAACTTTCTTTTGATTTTTTTAGGAAATTTTTATTACATTTTCCTTTCTCTTATTTTATAGGTACCGTCCGATGTTTAATTTTGTGGAAACGGCAGGTTTTGCAACAACTTTCGTTGTGAAACTTATTTTTTCAAATTTTTTGTTTTAGTGACTTAGCAAAAATGGACCAGTTTCGGTATGTGAAAGGAGTTAAAGAGAAAAAAAGGAATAGAAAACCAAAGTGGATGGAAAGATGTCCGGGTGATACAAAATTATCGGAGATACGCAAAATGTATAGCTATTCAGCGTACTCATAATTTATTTTACAGTTTTACATTAGACATTAGATAGAAATTAAAATATTTAAATAATACGAATTTATTTAGTGTTAATAAAATAATAAAACAATACATTTATTTTCGCGTTAATATACACATTGTTTATTGAGTTTATTAATAAAAAATTATATTGTACAATATAAATAAACTAACACATGATACGTGTTGGTTAACATTAATTTGCCATTTTTTTACGCGTATTTTGATAGTGTTGGTCATTATAGGGTTAGTTTTTCTACGTTTTTAAGACGTTAAACAACACTAGTGTCAATTGGCGTTAACTAACACTAGTATACACTGCCCAAAATCTTACTGATGTTAACAGATAATCACATATTACATCAAAAAACTGAAACTAATTCTTTAGCATTAGCTACCATCAAAAAGGCCAGTTCTGCAGTGAAACCAAAAAAGTCATTTAGCAAATACAAATATGGAGAGATAGTAATTGAATGGAAACGTAAACGTGATAAAGATGCAATGGGTAATATATGTAGTGCTGGGTTCATTTATTTTCATTTTTTCACAAAACAAGCATACATTATCTAGTTTTCAAATTAATAAAAAAATATATAGAATATAAAAACTAAATTACATCATAATAAATAGTAGGATAGTAAGGAGAATAGAAAAATAAGAAATAAAATTGCAAGTATATGTGTGACCTGTTAGAACTCATTTGAGCTATCTAACAGCTAAGGGTAAGAAGTATCACCACACTCAAATCACGTACTTTTATCATATCTCACAGGAAGGTACATAGCGATCATCATCTCCAATGAAAGCAGACCTGATCATAGATTGCGATAAAAGTATACATACTTAAAAAAAATGTGATTTATAAAATTCATGTAGCCAAAAAAAGTTTTCAGGCAAAACCCATTGAGATTTTTAAACACTTATTCTAGTGTTTAAATTGGTGATAACTGATGATACGTGTTAATGATTTTGCAGCAAAATATTTCATCCAATCATAATGTTTTAATCTATTTGACGCAAAATCCATTTTTTAAAAATAAAGGAACATGATTAAAAATGTTTCTAAAAACCCCGCATCCAAATATACCTTTATATTTTCACGAGACTAAAGTCTCCCAAGGCCAAAATCTACAAAAAAAAAGAAAGTAAAGAACATTAGTAAACATTCTTAAACAAAAAAAAAAGGACACCTGAAGCCTCCACTTTATACCAACGTCTATTCATAATATTTCTTTGAATAAAAGAATAAAAGACCGCTTAATGAAAAAAAATAGAATCCAAAAAATGAGCAGTAATCCCGCACCCATGATAAAAATAGTTTAATATTTTTACCATATATTTATAGCCTGATGTACCAGGATTTGAAAATGTTTTTTTTCAAGTTTGAACTTGTATTTTTTTTTGTTCAAACTTAACTTTTTTCGCGTTTTTTACTCAATTGCAAGCAGAATGAAGAAGCTTATGTATATAAAAATTTTATGTTATTAATATACTTTTTTTTAATGTTTTACTAATTATTTATAGTTTTTAATATGCAATTTTATAAAATAAAATATATAAATATTTATATTAAAGTTTTAAAAATATTATTTTTTATTTATTATTTAAAAGAAATGCCAAAGACACTTTATTTTGTGTTTCAATTTATATTATAATATTGTGTCAAAAAAAAAATATTAAATATATAGTAAAATTAATTAACTAAAGTACTGTATTTTAAAAGAAAAAATTTTAAAAACATAATATTTTAAATATTTTAATAAATATAAAATAAATTTTTATTACAGTAAATAGGTCTTTTCCAAAGACTTAGAATTTTTTATTTTTTATTTTTTACAAAGTTAATGCATAACAAATTAATTTTGAGACGATGTTAAAAATAGTAAACTATTTTTATTCTGGATGCGGGATTACTGCTCCCTAGTCCCTCTACAAAATAAATATGTTTAAAATAAAAATTTATAAAAATAGCTATTACTTTTAATAGTCATGATAGTCATGCATATTATTACTTATTTGGCAAGTGATATTTTTATTACTATATCTGGTCTGTTCAAAAATCCGGTTTGTTTATTTTTAATTGAGATGACTTGTAATACGCAATACAAACTAATTTGATACGATAATTTTTTTTGTTTATTATTTTTTAAACTGATTATCTTTTCAAAAAAATGAATGGAAAAGAAATTTCTAATTATCCTGAAAATTCAAATATAGTATGGAAAGACAATAAATGTACTTTTTATTATAAAGTAATAAGGGCAGGCATATACCCCAAAGATATATTATGTTATACCAAAAAACCTACTTCATACTCAATTCCACATGGTTATGTAATTCAAACAACTTGGAATCGAAATACTTGTACAGTTCAATGTTCAATAAATTATGTTAATGATAAACCTACATATGTAGTAAAATTTGGTAATAATTTTTCCAATCAAGTTGTTTCAAGTAAATCTCCTTCAGATGCGACTACATTATTTCATAACGTAAATATATTATTTTATTATTTATTCACTATCTAGTTTTAATTTAATTCGTGATCCGCCTGTGAAACATAAAAAATTTGATAAATTTATTAATGATCGGCGGTGATAATTGTTATATGAAAATTTGCTTCGCGTCTGAATCTCTCATTTCTTAAAATTACTAGCCTTTAAAAACCGCGTTTATAACAATGAACAAGTGTAAAAAATATGATGTTTCATTGATAAAAGTAGGAAAACTAGATGAAGAACTACATTTTGGAGCATTTGGACGTTTCTGGTGGAAGTCACGTGACAATATATTATATCCTATACGCTTAGAAATGAAAACCCTTGTCACACTTAATAAAACTCACTTTATAATTACTGTAGTTAAAGGAACTTCAGTTGCTGCCTTTCAACCTGGTTATATTTGTGAAGCAAATGGCATTACAAGTTCTGTTTACGATACTCCCTCTGGTGCGATTAACTTTTTATACCACATATTATTCAGTTCAAAAACAAGATTTTCTGGTCCGTTAATATGTGGTTTTAATGATAAGGAAATTAACAAACGAATTTTGGATGATATTCCTTTTCAACCATTTACAATAATGGTCGGTAATTTACAAATATTTATTGGAATGATTGGAGTTTCAGATCAGGAGAATTTGGGATATGTAGGTCCGGGATATTTGTCTTCTTTCATTTATAGAGTTGGTGAAGAAAAAATTCGAACATTATTTGTACAGCAAATTCATCAGCGACATTGTTCTGTGGCTTTATACCAAGATGAGCGAATTAAATTAAAATATAGCGGAAAAAATCCAGTTGAAGTCTGGAAAGAAGTTTGGAAAAAAATTGAAGTGCTACAAAATTGGGATGGAAAAACTTTATTTGGTATTAATCATGAAAAGACTCAAAATCTAGTGAATATTCTTCGAACGCCTTCTTGTACAATTAATGAATGGAACAATGAAATTATGATGACACAATTATATAAACAACATTTATATAAGTTTACCCCTGCCAGCATCCCTTGGTATGAATTTTTACTTAACTGGAAAGAGTATAAATGCAATATAATAGAACTATATAGCGCTCTTGAAAATATATATCCAGAAGAATATCAATTTAAAGAAAGAGAATTTCGTGCTTGGAAAGCACTACTACGTAGCGTTGGATGTACTAATATTACACCATTTGATAAAGATAAATCGGATGTGAGTTATGTAATTGCTTTGGAAAAAAATTTTTTTTTATTTTATTAATAACGAAATAATTTTTTAGAAGGAATTTTGGACTAAAGCTGAAAATCCAATTGATGATAAGCATGTTCTTATCTATTTGTATGAGAATAATTTTCTTGATATGTCTCTCCCAGATGACAATCCTAATCCTATTGTGAATAAATTTTGGTCTTGTTTTAACGAATCTTTAAAAGTTAACAAAAAAGGGATTGATGGAAAAAGAAGAATTCTATCAATAATTGCGGATGATTTTTCATATGAAGAAATTAGGACAAACTTACTGGTTAGTTTATTGATTTACCCAGTTATTTTTTTTTTTTGTTACAATTTTACTTATCAATTTCCAATATAGGTCGCTCCTACTACAATTTTTGATGCTCGCAAATATGCTAGATTAAATGGTCCAGGCGCTAAGCAAATTGAGAAACCTATAAGAACAGTAGCTAAATTATCGCAAGAAAAACTGGAACAATTTAGCATTTTTTTTGAAGACAAAGCAAACGTTATTATGTCATCTTACAAATCAGATGCCAAAACTCAATTACCTGTTCTTTATCTAAAAAACACAAAAAAAGCACTTTGGGAGAAATTTCAGGAAACATATCCAAATGGTTTAAAAAGAACGACCTTTTATTGTCAGTTGGAAGGAAATCGCTACCAATATCGTGAAGATATGGGAGGACTTTGTGCAATTTGTAATACTTATGGTTACGAAGTATTTGGATATTTGAAAAACCTAATTCAAAAAGAAGTTAGTTTGATGGAAATTCAGGTAAAGTTAGATTAATAATTGATATACAAAACAAACAACTTATTAACTAAATAATTTTAGAATAATTTCATTCAACGCGCTGAGAACTTACAACGTTACCTTAAAAAATCATATGAACAAAAGTTCACAATATCAGAAAATGGTACAACCAGA